GACTGCAATTGATCAGTGTTTTATTGGCATATGTGCATACTGTGCGTATGCCTCGATATCGCCTTAATTCACAAGCTTTTTGTAAGCAATGATGGATAGTGGCTAGCAGTGGAATCCAGTTTGACGCGCGTTTCGTCCTATTTGGGACTCGTCAACTGGACGTACCTGCTTATAAAAGCTTGTGAATTAAGGCAATATTGAGGTATACGCACAGTATTCACATATGCCAATAAGAGACTGATCACCTGCAATCTTAAACCTCAATTGGAAGATACAAACAAAACAATACCAAGTGAATTTAAATTCACCCCATTGTACAAGCAAGTGGCTATCAGGACTCAGTAGCTGAGTGGATAACGGGATGGCGTTAGAAGCGAATGGTACTGGGTTCGAGTCCCAGAGTGAACATCAACTCTGAGATACAGGTACATCCAGCTGACGAGGCCCAAATAGGACGAAACGCACGTCCTGGATTCCACTGATAGCCACTGTCCATCTTTGTTTATAACATTAAAATGTTTTTAATTAAGATACCAACAGAAATAATTTACGAGGTAAACCAATACTTATTTGTTCAATCATCAGAGTTAACATTGTCACAAATGTGTTTTAATAAGTGAAATCATTTTGCTTGTCGTGAATAATTATTAATAACTCTCGAAATTTGAATTCTATCGTAATGAATTTGAAAAATGAAAATATCTATTCACAATTTATCAGTCGATCCGAAAAGTGATTATTCTATGTGTAAAATGTTTTAGACTTGAAGGTTTATCCTTTGTTAATGACGAACAAAATGAGGTAGGCAATACAGTTAACCTTGAATTGACAACTTCAACCAACTAATCTATCGTAAGCTAAGTATTACAAATATGTAACATTATCCATTCAGTTTTATTGCCCTTAACAATATATAAAGTACTCTTTATCCATCCATAATGATAATATTAATAGTTATATTTTTAACTAAAGGGTGAATGAATCACTTTTTTAATTATCTTACCATTTTCATACTGAAACAGTTCAGTCAATCTGGATGAGAAAATTAGTGACTGGAAGAAAAGAACCCAAACAATATATCTTTTTCACATTCTCAACTTTAATTAAACTTATTTAGAGAATCAAATGGATCTCTACTAGTTTAAAGTGAATTATGAATGTTTTTGACTCATGAATACTTTTATTAACCGTATATTTTACCTACAATCGATTGATCACTAAATAGGGACCAATATCACGTTTATCTAGTCCTTTAATTGCTTAACGAGCTGTATCGATCAAATTGAAACGTGGCCACTAATCTGAATGGCTCGACATCATGTGAATTATGTTTATGTGTCAGATAGTTGGAGGCTGTCGACAGGACCTTAATTTCTTCTTATGTGAGACTCGTCAGTAAAAAGTACTCTCAAGCTTGAGGAAACTGCTGCCAGCTAGTAGATCTAAGATGGGATCACTCAGCTGTTCGAGTGATGATCGAGCTTCTGTAAGACAAGCTGATCAGGGTTCAAATCCACCAAGGATCATTAGTTTGCTCAGGGTTCCAGGTGTGCATTGATAACGAGTAGCAAATAGCATAAAACCGAGGTCTAGGGTATCCTATCGACTAGTTCCCACCACCTAACATATTTTATCTATAAGTCAAGAAGAACGTAGAAAGATTTAATATGAATGAATGTGTTTGTAACTTAAACTATCACTGATGATAATGTCTCTTTGTAATGTAAATACTTAGGGAAAACTAGAATTTATTATAAAAAGTTAAGCACAATGTTACCTTAACAAGATATATTTATTTGGAAAACCGAACCTAATTCAGTCAACATGAAGATCTCAGTTTAATAGGCTGAAGTTCTAACAGAAACTTTGCATTACGTCAAGTTTTTATTTAGAAACATTTTACTCAAATAAAAGACGGCCAATTCAAAGAATTAATAGACAGATTGGTCTATGCAACTTTAGTATTTGTATTTAGCTTCCCGCATCACCTATAAACTAAAGAAGTATATACAGAGGCATTTTGCTCACAGTTAGGACTTCTCTCTCTTTTCATGGCTAAATGTTTGTCCATAAATTTCTTCAGATACCCACTTTCTTTCGGAGTTGTACCCAATGCCTTTGTTTCTTCCTCAACAGCATCTAGGGAGCATATACTCTTGATTCTATACTGAAATGTCTTAATCACGTTTCTTTTACATTGTAAAGGAATAAAACTAGTAAAATTTGCATATTAGCCAGTCCAAGTAGTTTTATTGTTTAAGTTTCTTTTTTAGTAGCACATATACTCTCCTTGTAAGTAGAGCATCCAGAAAGGCTATTCCAACTCTATTTTCTTCCTCACATGTGAATATAGTAGACGGATGAACTCCGTTGAATCTCTTGTGTGTCTTTACCCAGTCAGTATGGTCTTTACAAAGGATGAACGTACCATCCACAAGTCGGCAGTAAAATGAAAACTTGTCAATTCACTGTATCGGTGGACCGTTTTCCAGTTTAGCGAAAAGATTCCAGTTAATACGGAACCTAGTGGTGAATTCATTGTGAAACCATCTATTTGTCTGCATAGTTCGTCATTGAATTTAAAGTTTTTGTTCATAGTACATTTTAGTAATAGTTACTTGATGATATCCATAAAGATTATAGTCCCTATTTCTTGTTCTCTAAGTCGCCCACAGACATATCTATTTTAATCATTAATCTCACAAACCTATTTAACGAAAGAGAAATCTATGTTGTATTTATTCAGTTTCCTGAACTGAGCTTAGAATGAACACAATATTTTATGGTGAATCTCAGGAAAATAATACATTTTCTTATAATTGACTAAATATTATGCTGACTAGAATGCAATCAAGAGAGACTTATTTTCAACAGCCCATAACAGTGAATTTCATAGGTTCCACTGAAACGTGTTAATGGATGGAGCTCAACTATGTCACTTGTCAAGCAGCTATCTTAAATGATATTGGTTTGATCCGAACCATATCGCGAAATGACTGGAGTTATAAATGTTTACCAATGGATTCCTGCTCAATGGTCTGAATCTAATATGCTCCACACAAGAAATGAATGTCTTTGGATATGCCCTATATGGGTTTGTGGATCCTCACTATAGCTCTTCCATATTTCCTGATTTTGAATGATTCAACGATTGAATTCAGTGTATATGGTAGAAAATAACCTCAAGAAGTTTAGAGACATTATTTCTGAATCCGTATTAACTAACATTAAATAAATTTAAAAATCATGAACTTGTATCGACTACCCTAGATTTCTTGACTCTAGCTTTCGTGACATTCTTGATCATAGTTAATAAATCGTTCGCAAGAGTTTTCAAGCTAGTATCTATACTGTGACTCAAAGCTGTCTTCCATCAATCAGTCAGTCTAGGTATTGAAACGCTTTTTATAGATGTCTGAACTAATTTCATATGTGGACGAATGATACTCAATAAGAAATTTTCAGTTTTTTAATTATTAAGAAAAACAAAGTTGTTTTTATTCACTGGATATTACAAATTACCAACAATATTGTCAATGGGTTGTTCCTAATATGTTATTTCTATAATCCTTTCATTTCATTTATACTACTGAAGTGTGGCTCTAAATGAGAAAAATAAACTTCCTGTAACCTTCATTGACGACTACTGTTCTCAAAACAGTGCTAAGTTTACGAATAATTTAATAATTGCGTACGAAATCAAGAGAACTTACTAAAAGAATAAAGGGATTTTATGTTATACAATCATACCTATTCTAAAATTATATAGTAAACTGATATAATTTCCCATTCGTTTGTATTTGTTACAATTAATGGCCGAAGAGAGGCAAGTGGTTTAATGGAATACAATATCAACAAAAAGTGGAATCCTAATCAATTGATACTCCATTTCGCCTAGAGTTTTGTTGACCTTATAGCCTGTTGACCTGTTATAATGCGTGACAGAACATGGCTTAGTATTCTAATTTAAAATTTGATTGGGTTATTGGTCTTCTGACCATTGTCATGTTAACTAGATAGACATTGGACATTGAAACAACACGTTGATTGGCTTATCGATATTATCTTAACCAATCAAGTATCAGTAAGGACTCACGTGACTAATACAGTGTCCATAAGCAATCATTTTCTACCATTTCCTTAATTTTTTTTTTCACTTAATGATAGATGGTTAATCACAAACTACTTTTTTCTCCAAAAATCCTGTGTACCTGACACAATCAAGATTATTTTAACCTCTCATCATATTTTCAGCATCAAAAATCGAGCCGTTTTATTGTACCAATCCTCTCCAAACCACCTCACTACTCAATTTTAGGAATTTGAATGTATATGTAGTTGGTGAAGTTGGACACCCCAAGGCGAAAGTTATTCGTATTGTGCATATCTCAGATACAAGGGGGGCACATGATGCCTTCACAGAAAATATTCCACGAGGACATATTCTGATTCATTCTGGCGATTTTACATCTCACCCACCTTCGCTCAACCTCCGCTTTTCAACATGGTGTAAGAGTATAACTGGTAAACTTCCTCGATTTAAAAAGCGCCATTCATCACCCATTAAGAACTGGAAACAACAAATCAAAGAGATTGATAATTTTTTTGCTCAACAGCCACATGATTTTAAAATCTTTGTTCCGGGTTGCTGGGAAACATGGTATTCGGATTCATCTGGTGACTGTCCTACGCCTGAAAAAATTCAGTCTCAGCTGACATCAGCCATTTATCTTGAAGACTCCTGGTGTCAGGTTTTTGGGTTGACGATTTACGGTATTCCTTGGACTTCAGCTGACGACTTAAGGCCAGAAGACGGAGCATTTGTACAGAAGCATTTAAGTCATTATACAAATTTTAAACTTAAAACTTCAATTAGCTGTCTGCGATTAACTGAAAAAGTTAATGGTCAAACATCGTCCAAACCCACAACTACCGTCTCTAGCCCATGTCAGTCTAAAGGTTTTGTGCTGCCTAATATTGACGATGTTTCTAAACAATGGATGCATATTCCAGATAATACTGATGTCGTTGTAACTCACATGCCTGCATGGCGTCCTGAACTTTACGTCCATATAGCCGATCGTGTTAAGTGAGTTAGATCGCTTCAAGTTGATTTTTTATTCAAAGAAAAAGCTAATGATATTTCTATTCTTTTATCATTTCAGTTGCGTTTGTACAATATATGGTTCCTTAAAATTAATTTTAAATATCCGCATGGGCAAAGCTAACATAACAGATCGTATTTATATTGTATAACTACCATAGAAGTGTATTAATTTATTGACGGCTCACTGAAATGTCCAGTAATTCATGTATATTAGAAAAACATAAGTTACACACTACTATAGACCAGATATTTTTGTCCTGTAAACATTTTTTAAACTTATATTTAAGGATGAAGTCAGTAGTTAAAATAACTGGTTTCGATGCTCAGTAATTAAATATTGGTTGGACTTTCGATCACTTTTTTATGGGGAATGCTGATATTACCTGACTTCCAAAACAAACGGGGAGTAGACTTCAAACCTTTAGTACGATTCTGGTAGACTGAATCCTTTAACCACCATGCTGATAGATCCAAGTAACCAAACGTAGACATTAAACCAATTCATGGTATTGGTACTTATGTATTTAATTTGTTCAGGGAAGTTGAGTCTTCACGGTTGGAGTAACCTAGACAACTGTAGGAGGGATTGGGGACTGGGTCATGTTTCAAAATCACTATGAGGCTGAGTATTTGTGTTCATTTTGTTATTTTTCTTGTGTATGGTATCATTTCATAATTTTACTTACCCGATTTCCCTCGTCCCTTCCAACCTTGTTTTTAGTTTTCAATTACTATTAGGATTATGGTTGTTTTCATACATTTTCTTACCTCTTGTTTATTCGCTGTCACACTGTTCATACGAAGTGTTGTAATTTTAACCGATATAAATAAATGCCAGGTTTTATTTTGTTTTTGTCTGTCTAAATAACTGAGTTGACCTATTTTCATTTATGATATTCATTTACCAATTTAGGATAGAATAGATAGCAAGATATTCTACCGTCTACTCATAAAGAGGGAAGTTAACAAATACATTATTTAAAAACAGGATAGATGACGAGGAAACTTAAAGGTGTTAACTATAACGTTTGAACCATAACCTCCATTGGAGCATTTAAACTGTCGCGATAAATCGTATCTGTCTTCTGTGAAAAGACAATAAAACGACGTATTGAAGTAACTGATTATTACTGCTTTTGCTTGCATGAATCTTGTTTGAGGATCGGGTCAAATATATTGATGTATTTTGCTGAATTAGACAGAAGTGTTGTATCGATTAGTCACTACATGTAGATATATTAAAAGATACGGTAGCCAAAATCAAATAACATGTCTGGAATACTTTCCTAGTTTCACCTGTAAACTACTTCCTTCAAATAAATTGGTTCGTTCTGGTTCAAAATTCATTTTCTTGACTTCTACAATGTATATATGACAGGTGACTATTTGTCAATTCTAAGTATTTTTTTATAAGCGATGACCTCAAAATGGTCAATATTATTTTCTTGAATACAATACAATGCTAATTTGGAATATTAAAGGCTTTATTTTTACGATTAATCCAGTGTAGTGCTTAGTTTTTTGTCACTATAGATATTTTGGTGTTGTGCTGAAATTCCTCTTCAGTATATATATTGCATTCTAAATGGAACATTTGATAAATTTTGAATATATGGTTGACTGAAGCGTCTGGTCCTTTTTATTTCAACTAGGTGGTGCTGACTGAGAAGTTATCAGTAGATCTTCGACTAAATTAAATGCTTCGATTTTCATGTTGAAAACTGGTACCCTTTTAGAAGGGTATATATATATAGTTCCAGAAATGAGAAATGATAACATGATGGGTAATAGTTATACCTGACAGTAGAAAACTGTCACTGGATATATTGAAGTTTTACCGATTATGATTTTTGATGGATATACAGTCTTAATTATCGTCACTCAACACGTATAAGGAAATAAGAGGAAACCAAATTTCGTCAAAATGTTTCTATTAAGCATTAAAAACAAAATGGACTAGTGGCAGCAAAACCAGAATGAAAAACATTATTATATACCTAATGGTCTATTACGAGAAATAAAAATCATTTGGGAAATTTAACGATAACCAAGTTATTTACGATGGTCACTATTATAAGTTAGATTATGGTTATAGCTAGTCATTAATTGGGAGAATATTTTATTGAGTTTAAATTGAAAAAGAAATCTAGATCGAACCAATAATATGTGCAGCGTTTATGTGAAGCCTTTTGACTGAATGTTCATAATATTCAAATATATTAATATTTGTTACAGATTGACATCATCTTGGGTTTAAATGAAAAGACACTGAACAGTTGTTTTGTCTTAGTATGGAGCTCCTTGGAAGTGCTCATCCATGACCTCACCAGAGGTTGAACCTAAGACCATGTCAACCATTAGAATCAGTGGGACGGAGTCGTGGGTTTTCACTGTTAAACAATCCCATACTCAGATGAAACTGCTGTCCACTCCCTCTTGACTTTCATTAACATCAGTCTATGACGAATACTACTTACAAAAAATTAACCGATCTCCACAAACCCGTTCTAATTTATTCACGTTTCGAAAATCTTACGCTGCACACCGTTATCTTTGGTATACCGGATAAGAATTAAGCCAGATAGTCAGATTTTCATCCCAAATGGCACTTGAAACACAAAATTTATACCTTCTAATCGTTTATGTTCTAACCAACTTCCAATATTGTTGAGTTCGTCTATCGATTAAGACTATCCAATTTTTTTGAAAAAATATATTCAAACTAAGTATTATTCATCAAATCACAGTCCATAATAAGCTTCCAAACTCAAACTTGGTAATTTTATAATCTAAGTTATGTTCTAAGACCACTGCATGTTAATATGATGAACTTTTCTAGTTCGATTTCAACTGTTTGCTGTATTTAACAGTAATAAGCATCATCGAAAAAGTAGAAACTTTGTATATTATTTCTTCATTATCTATTATTTTCATACTCTCATTAAATTGTAGACTAAACTGAATAGTCAGTTTACCATAATGAATTTTCCTATTTAATGTTATGTATTCAAAATTAATTAAGATAATAACAATCCGTCATAAAAACATATCTACTGATTGAATAAGCTTAGGCTTTCCATTCGCAATGCATCCATCAAACTCATTTTATTATTTGCATTTACTTCCAATTTACGTACTTCAAGAAATGAACACAAACTTGATGTTTTTTAAATTAGGATGATAGATTAGTGATCTATTAGTTTGGTTATATATTGAAAAGATAAATAAAATGATTTCGAAATACAGGCCGTGAAAAATAATATCTGTCAATCATCTGGCAAACTATTGTATTAGTTTATTTGATGATGGCAAAACCTATGTTCTGGTTTGTTGACGACTGGTCGTGTGAACTTGCATCGGAATGAGTATTGTTAGATCGACTAAAAATTCAATCTATTGGTGTCTTATTCCTCCTGAAGCTTGGTCAAAACAATTATATTTTGTTCAATGGGTACAAGATGTTTTAAGTATGTAAAATTTCTTCTTCCTTGATAACAGGACAGAATCCTCCACTTAGTGTTGAGAGAATAAATACTTGTATGCTTATTTTAATATTCCTGTTAACTACGATTTCGTTCTACTGTCAGCCATTACTAAATACGCCTAAATCACTATCAAAGGTAATGTTAAAGCGATTATATGGTAAGTATGTGCAACTCGGGTGATTACGTGCCATGAACTAATAAATGATAGTTTAAATCCCAATAATTTGTAATTCCATTTAAAAGTGGTTGTTTTTTGGTTTTCTGTTTTCTGTACAATTTAATGTCCCTTGTTGTTTCGCCATTTAATGATTACTTGAAAAGAACTAAGTAAAATTATGACTTCCAATTTTATACTCTTTTAAATTTGGAATTAACTGTGGAGTACTCCGATGCCCCATTATAGTGGTCTGGTAATCTTATTTTTTCCAACTGAATGACTGAATTCCATTAATACTGACGGTAATTATCACAAGGCGTCTAGTTCATATTAAAATGGGGTCGTATAATTTTTATCTGATAATCAATAACAGCGTACTCAGTTGTATGTAATAAAAGAAACTGCACCGTACTCTTATATACGTGTAATTGGGACGTGACATTTCAAATCTTAATTGATAAAGATTCGGTTTATTACTCGCTAATTTATCGATCAGATATTAGCAAGTTAGAAAATCAAAATAAAAAACAACGGAATGGAAAATTCTCACTGTCTGATGAGTTTAAGGTTTTTTGAAAACACACTTTGAGTATGACTGAGACCGGTTTATTTGTTAGATTATTTAAAAAATATGAAAATGGCTTTTGTCGACATTTGACCTTTATCTGAGTTCTTTTCAAAAGTAAACTTATTTTGTTTAGTATATTTGATTTCAATGTACGAGTACATTCACAAGTTACCTTTCTTAAAAGTATTTACGAGATTTATCATGTGGATTTCTAGTGGTCAACTTCTATCTCTTTTACATTATTTTTCATAAAAGTTCGAAAATCCTTCCCATGAAACTCCAATTTGATTGTTTGGTTTAATGTGAAGGTGGAGAGTCCAGTTGTGTTGACTCTTTACTCGGTATCTAATTTACCATATATTTATGATATTATAGTTAAAAATTTCACTTTAAGAGAAGATAACAGTCTGTATTGTGTAGCTAAACGCTTAGTAATTCTGTATTTCACTAATCCATATAAGCGGTTTTGTCACAGATTTAGCATCGGTTCATGAAATCATTAAATGTTAGTTTGAGCTGTGTTGATAAGAGTAGACTACTTGATTGGGGTCCTTACATAAATTCCAATAAATGGTTGGAGACATTGGGTGACATGGCTCAAAATCTATCACAGTAGCACAAATAAATCCATCCCTTATCTTAAGTCTCGAGTTCCTACATCACGTCATACTTTCTATTCTTTTATTACATTAATTCCCCAACCATATTCTCTATATTTATTTTTACTATCATTGGTATTATTATTATTCTGACTTTTACTACTCATTGTGAA